GCGGGCGTCCACCGTACATTGTCTAGCAGTATTGCGAAGCATTTCGTAACTATGAATTCCTGTTCATTGGCGAATATTACGCTGCCATGACGACATCTTTTTACGCCCTTCTTCTTACGGTGCCTTATCCTTAAGGACGTTGGCCATTACATTTACCCATTTAATTTTATTTGTAGCAGCCCTGAATAGTTCTATGGAGGTCATGTTCGTCCATTGCCGTAGGTTTTTAAGCCAAGAGTTGCGTTTTCTTCCTGGTCTTCTTTTGCTATTGACTTTGCCTTCGATTATAAGTTGGAGCAGTTCATACTTTTGATTTCTTATGATGTGACCAAAATATTGTGTTTTCCGTTCTTTTATTATAAGCATAAGCTCTCTTTCCTTATTCATCCTCCGCAAGACTTCCGCATTTGTCGTATGGCTCATGTAGGATATTCTGAGCATTTTACGGTAACACCAGAGTTCGAACGCTTGGATTCTTTTTTGTGTTGCTTCTGTCATTGTCCAGGCTTCAACACCATAGAGCAAGGTGGAGAAAACATAGCACTTAAGTATTTTAGTTCTCAATGAGATGCCCAGCTGGCGGTTGCATAGAACTTTTTGCATTTTGTAAAACATTGTACGTGCCTTTTCCAGGCGTATTCTTATCTCTAGTGAATGGTCCCAAGCTTCATCAAGATTACTTCCAAGGTACGTTGTTCTTGTTACTCTTTCCAGATCTGTCCCGTCGACATTGACCTTCACCCTTCTGTTTTGGTGCTTGCTGATGACCATCGTTTTTGTCTTCTTTGTATTCAATTTCATTCCAAATTCTCTACAGGCTGTCGTTACTCGGTCCATTAAGCGTTGCAGGGCTTCAGCATTATCTGCCAGTATGACAGTGTCATCAGCATATTGCAGGTTATTTATACATTGCCCGTTTATAATTATACCATCCGAGGTGCCTTCCAAAGCTTTCTGAAATATCTTCTCAGAGTAAACATTGAACAGCAAAGGTGATAGGACACATCCCTGTCTTACTCCCTTCTCGATATTGATTTTTTAAGATGTTTCGCTTTTTATTCTGATTTTAGCCTTTTGTTCTTGGTAGAGGTTTGAAATGATCCTTAATTCTTAATCGTCGATATTACATGACCTTAAAATATCTATTAGTTTATCATGTTTCACCAGGTCAAACGCCTTCTGAAAGTCTATAAAACACAAGTATACATCAGAATCGATATCTCTACATCTTTCAACTAGCACACGTATTGAAAAAAGTGCTTCTCTTGTTCCGAACCCATTCTTAAAACCAAACTGAGTTTGACCAGTGTGTTCGTCTATTTTATTGTATACTCTATTGTGTATTACTCGTAGGAAAAGCTTCAACATATGATTCATCAGGCTAATAATCCTATGGTCTTCACATTTCTTGGAATTTCTCTTCTTTGGTAGTGGTATAAACACCGATGAGGTACACCGATGTGGTATAACACCTAGGGCGTTTTATGCACTAGACATCTTTTTACCCTCTATCTTTTCTTCTAATACCAGTTGCAGAAAAGTGTGTCGTTATCCTCGTAATATGTGACTGTCCTTCCATGATATTCTAACCATTCGGGGCAGTCACCACATTTCAAAAACTTCCAAGTTTGTTAGTGAATCTGACCTTTAACCTCCATGCTTTTTTTTCGTATAAGAGAACAGGCCAAACGTAATACATTATCATCTTGTATCTCAAGTTGAAATCTAAATTTCGATCAGTCAGAAATTTTAAAAAAGCATTGCTGGCTTTTTCTACTGTGCTTTCTTTGAGTCTTAGGGTCCCAATTAGCGCTTAGCAGGCAACCCAACTATTTAGGCTGTCTGACTTGCTCGAATTTTTCTTTATTTTCTGCGGCTACAAATATTTTTGCATTTGGGTAATTATTTTTACCTATAATTGTTTTTGTCTTCTTGATATTTATTTTCAAACCCATAGTTTCACTTTCAAGAGTTAGATCATTTAAAAGATATTAAAGATCTTTCATGTTATCTGCCACCATCGCTGTGTCATTGGCATACGTAGTGTTGTTAATAAATGTGCCGTTTACCTTGATACCCTTATTAGAGTCTGGCACTGCTTCTTCGAATGCTTTTTCAACATATAAGTTAAACAACATTGGAGAAAGTAAACATCCTTGCCTTACTCTCTTTTTTATCGAGAAATGTCGTTTCGTTAAAATTTTGAAGACGTACTGTTGTTATCTTCAAAATTCAAACTGAAAATATCCTTTATTTGATCTAAACAATTATGTAGTAATGTTTGCATATTAAAGTACGACTCTCTCTCTTCAAGTCCATTTTTTAAAGTAAACTGACTCCAGCCGCTGACCTCTTGTATGTAGTATTCTCTAGAAAAGGTTTAAAAAGTGGCTCATTAGTTTTATTAACCGGTGGTACTTACAGAATTTCGTGCGTTCTTTTTTGAGTAGAGGGATAAATTTAGAGCGACACCAATCTTTTGTAATCTGGCCCGTATCGTAGATATCGTTAAAGAGCTTCACAATAATGTCTTGATTTTCTTCATTAAGTAACTTGATTGTTTCTGAATATATTTCTAGTGCTGGGGCTTTGTTAATTTTTAATAGTTTGATATCGGGTGCAATCTCAGCTTTTCTCGGATCATTCAAATGATCTCCCAATTGTGGTGGTTTTTGTGTTTTGTGATCGTTGAACAAATTAGCTGTGTACATTTTCCAGGTATTAAGTATATCGCGAGGCTCCATTATTAGTTCATCTTGAACATTATGTATACCAGTGACTTGTTTCTTGTTGAAGGTCTCAGCAATTTTCTTAATTTTCTTGTGGAGATTGAAGCTGTCGCCGAGTTTAGATAGGTTTTTGACCTCGCTGCAGCGTTAAGTCATCTATATATCCTTCTCCGTTACAATTTCTTTACGGATTTTGCTATGTATATTCACCGTTAGTATACGGTACCATACTTGGTCCTTCCTGATTTTACACTGCCTGCGTTATTCCATCAATCATCTCTAATTATACCATCCACCTAATCTTCGTAGTTGTTTTATTTTGGAGAAGAAAGTGTCGTTGAAAAACATCATCAAATGATTTTGCAAAGGTTTTTTGAACAATTTTAACTCAAAAGAAGTCTCGTCTTAAAAGTTGTAATGTCTAGATTCTTTCATAACGCAGTTTTCCTACAATATCACAACGAATAATACATGGCGATTTTTTTATCCAATTCTTAAAAACGAACAATGCCCCCCCAATTGTTCACAATTTACGAGAAACGACAGTTTCTACATTACCTTTTAAAAAAAAATGCGCTCATGTTTAAATTTTAAAATGGTTCTTTGTTTAGAGCAGACATAGGCAAAAAGGCACACCAAAATGAAGCCCTTTGGGCTTCCTTAGCTTTCAATTTGGGACGCAATAAGGTTTTCAGTAACGCCTATAGTTACACATACGACAAAATGTATGTTCTAGATAGCTAGAATACAACGCACATCCTTCCGTAGATCGGTAATATGGCGATGTGGAGTATAATGTGTGTTTCTCGGCTAAGTGCAGAACGAATCGGACTACCATTGTCATGTTGTATGTTTATAAGATCAGTGTAGTTCGGATAGTCAAGTGACCTTGGCGGCACTAAGAAATTAGTCATTCTATACGAAATAACGAAGAATAAATCCAGTGTGTAACGGGAAATTAAACTCACGATGCACAATATTTATTTATTTCTTTTACACTATTTATTTTATTAAACTGTCCAAAACACTGCTTCAAACAAACAATTAAAAGCGTTGTCTTGTATAATAATTATAAACGAAGCAGAGATCTAGGAGAATATCTAATGTTGCTAACTAATGGACTACCTAAGCTCTGACGTCATAGTGGGCGGGGATTTTAAAAACCTTTTCAAACATTTCTAATTTGTGTGTATTTGTCCCATGAGGGTTTATTTTAAGGTTATGTTATGATTTTATTCAAACTTTAATAATTTTTTGCTGTATTTCAAGATATATTGTTGTTTTTATCGGTGTTATTTCAAAATTAATCAATAAATCATTAAATTTGTTTACGAAGTTAAAAACTATTTAAATTAATGTTTTAATTTTTTTAAGCGCTATTGATTTTATCCTCTAAAAGGCTAAATATATTTGTTGTCCCGTAGTTTAAATAATTAATAGTAGTTGTGTTATTATTACTGAAAAATTCAGTAATACTGGATATCTTCAACAGATGTTTACTAGGCATTATATGCCCAGATCTAAGAAACTAAACTTAAAAACTATTACAACATTCAAAAAACATTTTTTTTAAACACTCAATATGGCAAATTGATAGAAAGGTGTCCGCAGAATATTATAATACAACTAAAACTACGAGAAAACGAATATGTTTAGGATTTAACAGAATAAAATCACTGAGAACGAAAAAAGAATAAAACAATAATTTAAATATTTTTCAAATTCGTAAATAATTTCATGGATTTATTGATTTATTTTCAATAAACCCGGATAAAAACAACAACCAAATGCCTTGAAATACAGTAAAAAAATTATTAAAGTTTTATTCATATAATAACATAACCTTAAAATATGAACATTTATAGTAAATATCTTAATACTTTGATACCCTTACCTTGCAAATTTACGCACAAAAAATAATACCAATCGCAGAGAATAAATGTTTATAACCAAAAGTCCTTATTTATTCTTCAAAAATTTTAAAACACCAAGATTTCAAACTTCTTATGGGACAAATACACACAAATTATAAATGTTTGGAAAGGTTTGTGAAATCCCCGCCCATTGTGACGTCAGACTAAGATAGTCCATGGAAGATCTGTATGCGTGCAAATTCAGCGACAACTAATCAAAAATTTGGAACGGTAAACGTATTCGAAGTCGCTGCCGTTTGAGTTGACTGCATTTTATTATTGGAGCGGTTTTGGCCAAAGTTGTAATAAAACACTTTGTAAAATTTTCTTTATATTAACCATTTTTTGTTCTTTATAGAGCCAGTTTCGATTTGATAACGAGTGCAATATAAATTTGCCAGACAATCACAAAAGGGTGAGTGAAAATAGTGATCAGTTACCAGCATCTAGCATGCCTCTGCCTTTGACTGCAACAGATGCACGTTCCGTAAGCATTTTATTTGTTTATTTTTTTTTTTTTATTTTTTACTGTAATTTAGTGCACGGATAAGTTTTAGGGCTAATCTCGCGAGAAGATAGAAGTTGATGTTGTTTTTGAAATGTAGCGAACAAAATTAGACAGAAAATAGTTATTTCATGATTGACGTAACTGTTTTGGTGGTGTTTTTTCTGTATACTATTTCGAACACTTTAACAAAGGTGAATAACAAACAAATTTACAACGCATCGTTTTTTTTAAGTTGAACATTTAAAATTGAGTTTTTATGTTATTCATTTTTGTTTAAACTATTCATTTTATTGTTCTAGATTTTAAGTATTTAGGATCGGTAGTACATAGAGATGGTATATGTCTACGAGATATAGAAATGAAAATAGCTCGGGAAAGGAAGCTACCGAAGCACTTCATGGGTTAATATGGAACAACACTCTCACCAAAGACAACTAAAAAGAATCTTTCTATGTAAAACATTACCCTATACCGAAGACAGTTGAATTGGACTTTACGAGAAGATGTCTTCAAATGACCAGAAGGGACAGAATAATGATCGAGAAAAGATAGAACCGGATGGAAGTAGATTTCTTAACAACAAAAAATTATAAAACAGAGCACTACAATGGTACGGTAATGTTCAAAGAATACCTGGTCATAGGTAGCCAAAAAAATTAAGGGGAACCTTTAGGATGAAGAAGGAGAAAAAGGACAACTCTGAGATAGAAAACGTATATAAGGAACGCGATAATGGAGAGAGATTCCTGAGAAAGTAACTGGAATGATAAAAACTGTGGAGGATTAAAACTCATAATGCTGAAAAGAATTAGTTAAACGTAAAGAAAGGAAGTAAAGATTATAGAAAACGTAGGATGTATAGTATGAGCCTATATAATGATACATATACTAACGGTTGCTTAAAATCTGCTTAAAGAAGTACTCAAAAGGTGCTAGCACTTAGTTAGCGTTAATAGTCCAGTAGCTTTTGATATTGATTGTGTTACAGTGATTATCAAACAAATACTTCTTATATTGCATTATTACTATATGTGGGCTAATGAAATTTTCTATCTGCTTATTACTGAATTGTTATTATTTTTTATAACACCACACATTTAAGTTCTTTAAAATCCAAAATGACTAATAAGGCCAGTGTTAATATACGAGTCAGAGACGTGGTCACTTACGCAGAACGACCAAGAATTGCTTAAACGTTTCGAGAGCAAAATTCTAAGGATAATATATGGAGGAGTCCAAGAACAGGGTTTGTGGCGTAGGCGCTACAACTTTGAGTTATACAGAAGCTTTGGGGAACCTGACGTTGTAAAATGTGTTAAATTAGCACGCCTTCGTTGGATAGGACATGTAATTAGGCGAAATGAAAATGCAACGATCAGAAAAATTTTCGACCGAAGAGGACCAGTGGGATGACGAGCCAGAGGAAGATCAAAAATTAGGTATCAAGATAACATAGTCATAGAGGATGCTCTAAAATCCATCGGAGTTAATGCATGGAGAATAGTTGCCAGAGACAGGGGCGAATGGAAGATTGTGTTAAAGAAAGCTTTGGCTCATAACGAGCTGTGATGCCACTGATGATAAAAATCCAAAAATCTTAATTTTTTTCTTAAAAATTTTTTATATTGATTTTAGCAATTTTGTTTATATCTCCTCACAGACACTTTGTATATGGACTAGCAACCTTAGTGGAGTCTTATGTATCACTTCCTATTGTACCTTAAACATCATAGTTTTTAAATATCAAAGATGTGATTCAAAGTTAATTAAACTACATTTAAATGGTTTTTATCCACATATTTATTGGTTTCAAATATGTACATCCAGATAGCACTGATGATGGAATAGTTATTCCGAAAACATTCTGTGATGTAGCCCGATAGGGATTTTTTCATTATACCTTTTATAACGGTATCTAATTATCTAAATAAAATTGTTTGTGATACATGGTATACCGCCAACTACGGGAATTTAGTTTGTTTTGTGGATTTGAGATTTTGTTATTAAAAAGACTTCAACACACCCTAGAAAACAATAAGATAATTCATGATTACCAGTTTGTATTTCTTTGCGGACAAATCACTGGGTTCTGGTACACTGGCCTACTCTATAAAATCAAAAAGCATCTACCGATGTGCGCTGGAATCTTATCTTACACCTAAAAAATACTTCCTAGTTAGGCACCAAGAGGACTACACTGAATTGTGCCCAGTTGAATCAGCTGTAATCCAAGGCAGTGTTCTTGGACCTTTTTTTTGGACTGAGGTGGAAAGGTTCTAAACTGACTAGGGAAGATGTCCCTAGTATTGTTGGATTCGATCCGGAAAGGAGCACATACTAGGACATAGCATTAAAAGTATGAATTATATGCGCCACATGCACCCCTGACCAGTCGCCTACCAACTAAAAACCACCCCTTCTTCGGACAAGGCACCCCCGGACGAGTTCAATCGGTGAACGAAACATTGAGATGCCTTGTGCAGTCTGAAAATTTGGGAGAAAATTGTAAAAGGGTTCTTACCTAAAAAACGATAAGAAGCACTTAAAATGGTATGCAGAGACGGTATTGTGGGGAAACAAAATATTGGGCCCTAAAAGGTGCAGGCGTGTTTAGCCTGACAAGGAAGGAATGTGAAATAAAAGAGGCATGAGGTCGTGAAAACTACGTACAATAGTACGTAATATAACTGCAGATCTGGCTGTAAAGGTGCCGTCTATTCCGTCGTGCAGCCGAGTTGTAAAGCACTCATGACAGCGTATTATGTAATTTGTTACCTCATCCACCATGTTATTGTCTCGCTCTTTCTAGCGTCTCCTTTTTCTTTATAATTTGCGTAATTATGTCGACAGTAACATCGTAGGATTCTTTGTTCTGCGTCGCTTTCTCTATCAGATTGTTGGGCGTTATCGTTGCTAGCCTTGATATTAGGTTATTCTGTTTTCTTTGAAAAGTAGTGCAAGCAAAAATGCAGTGTTCTGCGTCGTCTATGACGCCACAATTTATACACAAATCATTTGTTGTCTTCTTTATTCTATACGTGTACGACCTAAAGGAGCCATGGCCTGTGAGAAATGGTGTAAAAAAAAATTAACCTTCTGAACCTACATTTAGACCAAGTTACCACATCAGGGATTAACATTTTGGTCCATTGTGCCTTCTCCGTTTGTGCGTCCCATTCATTTTGCCATATTTGGAGCATATATGATCTTACTTCGGATTTTTTTTGTGCTCTTAGTGTCTTTAGTGTTCTTGGACCTGTGCTTTATCTACTATACTATACACCATGAATTTCCCAGAAACACACTCAACGACAGTAATATTTCACATATAAATGCAGTTTTATTAATTAAATCTTGCCCAGGTATTTTCGCTTCCTAGAGCATCTTTAGGGGCATCTAAAATAAGCCAAGGAACATTTTTTAAATGAAGAAACTAATTAACTTCGATAAAAAACTCTTAACGTTTAACGTTTTAGACTTACTTCGTCAATTTTGGGCTATCCAACAATCGCAGAATGTCACATAATAAACATAAAATTGTACATAACACAACACTAAATAAGGACAAACCGAGACAATAGGTCGGCAACAGGAGAGAGAATGGCTCTCGGTATTAACGAAAATGTTTAGGTGACATGTGACATATGATAGCTTGGATGGCAGTCACAATTATGAAGATGTGATCTGCACATTTCAAAATTCTATGTAACTAAGCATTGACCAAAGGTCCAACTGACACTACTATAGAAAATCAACTGATGAAATATGACATATAGACTATTTTAACTAGATTGCATAATCCAGATCTCACACTTAAACCTGTCTATAATAATTAGGGTGTTAATTTAAGAGCAACTGAACTGGACGTAAAGTATGAATACAAGAAATATACTAAGCAATTTATTAGACAGATGGTGGTTGACTACAATAAAAGGGTCTACCAGGCACTATCAATACTGTAGAAAAGAAGAAATCTAACTATGAAATTAAAATACTAAAAAATTAAAAAACCAAAATTGAAAGCCGTGTAAGATGGTATAATCGAAGTACTTCAGTTAAACCCCCAGTCAATGGGAGAACTATAAAATTACTTAAGACAACTGACCAACAGTGGGAGATGTTGAAATATACAACTGTGGAGATGGTGTATCTAAATTACGCAGAGGTATGGAGAGTGTAATTAACGAAAACTATAGATCAATTTAACCTGAGCAAGCTAATTTTGTAAATTATTGAAGAATAAAATAGTAATGTTGATCAAAGTATGAAATGAATAAATTCTTAATGGGTATACTCAGTGCAGGAAGTCTAAAAAGCCGAGCTGGGTTCACTACGAGGTGAAGCTGCAATAAAGTTTTTAAAAATAGGTTTAAATTTAGTATAATTTAAATTAATTTGAGTATGAGAACAGTGAGAGTTTCCATTTGTTTCCTTTATGATCTCCAAATCTCCCAATAAATCTAACTCAAAATAGATTTTCTTTCTACTAATGTCATGTAGCGGGTAGGAACTCCTTTCGGATAGTCCTACCAGGGGAAGTGAATCAATCCCTGCCTTCCGCAGATTCCAGGTGTTTCCTGACCCGGGAAACTAGAACCTGCTAAGGGTCCCTTGTCCAGGGTCACGGATGAAGGCCACAACGGTGTCCAGGGCGGAAGAGAAGGTCTTCTTAACAGTCTGAAGAGCGGAGGTGGCAGCCCAATGGTTTTAGGGATTGTATAAAACTAGCACTGGAAAGTGGCAGCTGGTTGATCCAACACTAACCGCAGGCAGACTGAAATGGCTGTGAATTAGACAGCATGTGGCGTGGTGACATTCACAGAAGCGGCACATGTACAGCGGTGTAGAAGGCAACGGGAAACCACTACACTAATATTTCCCCAGCAAAATTACATAATGCTCATGGAACCTAAAACAACGGCCCTCAGTCCCGGGCACCTCTTAAATGAGGAGAGGGTGCTAAGAATCCCCCGGAGGAA